TTCCGTTCGAGCTATCGATTCGATTTCGACGTAATCCAGGTCCGTACTATGAAGTTAATAGCATTCAGAATCGATTTAATGGTTTGGATCGTTATATGTGTTTATGCTATAATTTGGCTAAATTGGTTAATTGAATTAAATTGATTGTTTGAATTGAATTGTTGAGGATTGTGAATTGACTGAACAGGTTTGTCTTTGACTTGGGTTAGGTCCTGTTTGACTTGGACTTTGACTGGATATTCTGTTGTTGTAAGTTTGACCGAATGGTTAAATCCAAACTTTAATGAATTAGTTAAGTTAATTAATTAATTCTAATTGGTGATTAAGGTCAATTGGTTTATTGTGTTGAACATAGAAACTGACCATCGCTCGGGCGGCTGCAGGGCCTGGTCAGTGAGGTTAAGACGTGCGCACGAGGGTCTGCGATCTTGGGTTTGAGGCCATCGCCCGAGGGATCCTACCTCCACCGAATTGAGGCCATCTTCGGTATTACGGATTGAGGCTATCTCCGTCATAGGAAATAAATGTTAAGTGGTTTGACTTTGGTGAAAGTCTAAATTGGTTTGACCGGTGGTCAAAGAGTCATGGGAAACCCGTAACACCTAAATCGTTTTGAAAAGAAAGAAAATAAGTTGACTATTGGTCAACCGTCTAAAGAACCGAATGTTAAGTTGAATTGATTTTTATTAAAAGGATAAACTTATGCACGATCTTAATTTTTGAATTATTATGTTTATTCTTGTGCTACAATGGAGTACCACTCAGCGTCAATGCTGAGCGGATAGCGTTTTTTTCTTTTGCTGTCCGTAGGTGATCAGACAGATGAACCTAGAGCCGATCCCAGAGGGCATTGAGGAGGAGATGTACGATGGCGTGGCTGTCTCTTTAATCTGTTGATTATGCTTTATTTAATTAACTTTAATGCTTATTACGTTTTCGGGCAAGATCCCAAGTTGTTTTAATTTAAAAAGGCTTCCGCATTATTTTAAATTACTCCGATGGATTTTCATATGTATTGAAAGAACGTTTGTTTAAAATTGTTTTGAAAATGTCGCAAATTCGAATACCAATTTAGTGGCACACCGGTCCGCTGTCTCACGGGTTTGGGTCATGCGGGTTGGGGTGTTACACTCTATAGGGAGGTACATATCTGTTTCTTTATTTAATCTTTCATTTTCAATCCTTGAATAAAATCATTGTTTAACCTTCCTAAGATACAGAGAATTAAACTCTAATGTGAGTTTTGGTTTTTAGCTGGTTCAAATTGACCTCTTTTAGATTTTGGTTGTTTATAGTTTTTGGGGTTAATTTGAATGGACTTCGGGTGATGGGTCTCGAAGATTTTATGGTATACATTATGTCATATTTAGATTCTTGCTCCATTGTAAACTCTCCATCTCATAATTTGAGTTTGAGCATCCGAGGAAATGAGGGATTACTAAGGGAGTGAAAAAAGTGTGAGTAGAGTTGGGAACAAAAGCAGTAGCAAAGGTTGAAAGGACTGAATTCTCGGATGAGTGATTCACGGGTGGAGGAGGTGCAGTAGAGTGTTTTGAAGTTGAAGGTGTTGCTACAAGTTTTGCAGAAGTTGCAGCAAATTTTGGGCCATAGTCTAAAATTTTGATGTGTGTTTTGTTAAACCCGTGAACTGTTGATGAATGAAGCTGCAACTTATGGGTGTGTTAAGAAATTTTGTTTAACTGATGGTGTTAAGGGGAAATTTCTTAACACTCTCAAACCAAAAATTTTGAAATTAATTTTTTTATGCTTTTTTTTGGATTTGAGATTAATATGCAAATCTTGCCCCTTCGAAATCAAATTCTACTTTTCAGACTAAAAGAGAATGTAATGGAACAGAGTGATAATAAATTTCCAAATAGAGTGTTAAGAAATTTCCAAAAGTGATATGTCACACACTTTAATAGTATAGAATAATTATCATTATAGGACAAATTTGAAATTACTCTTTTTTATACTCTTTTTTTTTGGAATTTGAGATTGATATGCCCCTTTGAAATCAAATTCTACTTTTCAAAATCCAATTTCAATATTTTGATGTTAACCTCATACCAAAAGATTCTAAAGTCTGATGGATTCTTAATGTTTGGGCATTTTAAAAAAAATTAATCTGCATTTGATTTCATTTTTAAAATGTTGAGGATATACTTTTATGCAATTTTTAATCTCACCATATTTTCCCTTTAGATTTGAGTAAAAGTTTATCTTTAAAATTTGATATTTAAAATTATTATGTTTTTAATTACACCATCAATTCTATACTCAAGTGTGTAATTTTATTTGGTTTTGAGGTACATTACGTGATCATGTGGTAATGTTTTTCTACACAATTTTATGTTTATGAAAATTTTTTCATATTTATTATTAGACTTCATAAAGAACAAGGTAGTATGTTAATTCATAGCATTTCTTTTTCTAAGCTAGAGTGTGGTGAGAATGATCTGTAGGGTCCGAACAAATGTGCGTTTCATTATTCAAAGATTTTGGGTATAAAGCCTATAAGCATTTGATCTATGTGATACTATTTGAAATTAAAGAAATATTTAATTTAAAATTATTTTTTGGTGATCGTGGTTTTGTTTTCATGTTTATTTGCACGAAAGAGATGCAATAAAATTGGGTTAATGAAAATAAATATGTGCTTTTGGTTTAGGAAAACATGGTTTATCAATCTATTTTTTACAATAAAATTAAATTAAGAAAAAAATTAAGTCCGTAGAAATTTACGAAGTGTTTAAGTTTGTAACAACCTATTCTAGATTATGAGTTCAATTTGATCCAAACAATAATTATTAAAGTAAATGTTTTGGTCTTCCCGAACTTTGTTTTCGGGCATCCTATGCCTTGACAGATTTATACTCCTTGGATAGTTACTCTTTTGAGTTTGAGTTTTATTGTTTGCTTATTTGTGCTTGGTATTGAAATGTTGTATGCCTGTATCATGGAGTTTTTTTATTTAACTTTCAAATGTATAGAGTATGTGTATGTGTGTGTGTTCATGGAAATAAATGAAACACTAACACATAGAACATTAAATGTATCCTTGAGAAATGATAACGTGTTTTTATTTGTTGATATATTAATAAATGTTCTTGAGGGTGTGCTCTATTGTTTTTTGTACTCATTGGATATAAGTGAGGTATAATTTTTGTTATGAAGGATATATATATATATATATATATATATATATATATATATATATATATATATATATATATATATATATATATATATTCTAAAAAAAACCAAGTCAATAGCATTTAGTTTTACCGTGCAACGCACGGGTAAAATCTAGTGCATTACCGAGAATATAATATGCATTGTAACTCTAGACAATGCATCCTTTTATTTTGTATTCTAAAAGTCAAAGTTGATGCATCTCTTAGTGAAATTCTTCTCATACAAATATGATGCATCAGTATAGTCTATAAATTGATTTTTCGCAAACGATGATGCATTGAAATATTTTATCATACATTTGAGCATAGGCTAGAAATACGTTGATGAATGATGCCAATTTTAAATATGAAACTATGTATTTAATAGGTCCAAGTGCAAGATAAGAGTCTATTTGAAAAAACAAATTGTTGCCTATTAGCTCAAATGGTAGAGCGATATGTACTATGGATGTGGGTTCGAATCCCGCATAGGCAAACTATTTCTCAAACATGTATTATACTTATTTTTGAATACAATACATTTTCAGGCTTTTTCATCACATATAAAGTCACCAAAAAATCATTATTCACAACCCACTAATTAATAGAATACAATTTGAGAATACAATTTGAGTAAAATTGACCAACCCATTTTTAGTTGGTCAAAGCATTTAATTCGTAAAATAAACCTAACTCGTTTGATGCATCTGATCTAGCGTCTATATTTTATTCTCATTTCTTTCATGGAGAGTTATTCTCACAGGAATTAGCTCCTATATATATATATCCTTTATCCTTTACTATAATAAAGGAGACTCCGATTCACAGAAATTTGACATTTGGCGTGTCTACGTGGAAAATTTTTAACATGTCAGCGCCACGTAATAACTGAGTAAAATTTAAAAAATATTATTACAGAGTGCACCAGAAGAAGAAAGAGGAAAAAAGAAAGCGAAAATCCTTTACTATAATATTTGAGACTCGACTCACAGAATTTTGACATATGACGGGTCTGATTGGCATTTTTAACAACCGCTACCTATTTATTATTTTAATGAGTTGTAATTTTAATCAATATACGGAATAGTGATTTGGCATTATTTTAATTTATTGTTTATTGCTTGAATATATATAGTGACCAAATTAATACTCTATCTACCCCTAAAAACTCTTCCTATTATGACTTTTTTGGTCAAATAGTGACATTCTTTGACTGCAAATTGCGAGAAAAGTATATTTAATTGTAATATAAATTTAATATAACCTTACGATATAGTTTTGACATCAAAATTTTATAACATTTATTTATTTAGATTATAATTAATTTATGGTCAAATCATTATTTGACCAAAGAAGTCAAAACAAAAAGAGTTTTCTCGGATGGAGGGAGTAGTTTTTTATTCGTTTCACGCGGTTAATCTTAAGAATTAGTAATTCTATTGTTTCTAACACTCTGATTTGTTTTCTTAATAGTATGTTTGACCATTTAAATTTCTTAAAATATATTAGTAAAAAATTAGAGAATATGAATACTTATTCTTTTTTGAGGATATGACACTATTAAGACTAACTCTTGAAGTAGTTGAAATGATAAATGAATTTTTCATGTCTTTCATTCCTGAAGATGAAAAAGAATACTTGATTCTTCATGCCAAGCAAATGCAGATTCTTCATGATGATCGATAACCATTTAGTTTTTGAATGAAATCAATTGTTCGGTAATCCCAAACAACAAAATAGTTTTGAAAAAAGGGGTACTGATTCTGTTATCAATGCAATTATGGTTTTGGAAAATTCAGTAAGGGAAAAGGCTTAAATACCTAGAATGAATTTGGTATCGTTTGATCTATGACTACACATGAAGTTCTAGAGAAGACAATTTTCAATAGTTATATGTTTTCCTATGACTATTCACAAAAGTAAAGGTCAAACATTGTCATTTGTTAGAATTTTTTAACCAAGCCAGTGTTCACTCGTGGTCAGTCATGGTCAACTTTATGTTGTTGTTTTACGAGTGAAAACAAAGATATGGTTTATAATATTAGTTCTAGATTATAATGAAAACCGTTGCAACCAAACCAAAAATGTTCTATACTCTAAACTCTTTCCAAAAAATATAGATTAAAAAAATACTTTGAGGTGTTAATTTTTAAATTTTTATATATAAATTTTCACTACCAAATATTAAATGCTAAATTATTTATTTTACTTTGATTTTAATGTCTATAATGTTAAAGAATGCATTACATATATTTTCATTAATTCATTAAAAATATTATATTGAAAATAATTTACAGAAGCGACAAAAATTTTGTTTAACACCGTGTCTTGCAT